TGGTACTGATTAACAACAACATTGCTTCTCAGAGACCTCGAAGCTAAAGGAGGAGGTGATGTTAGGGACATAGTCTTTAGAACCTTCTAGAGACAAGTTTCTAGAACCTTCTAGAAGCAAGTCTCTAGAACCTTCTAGAAGCTTCCTAGTTGGTAGAAGTTGCTTGAGAAGCTTCTTAAATAGGAGTATATATTGGAATCGAGGTTGAAGAGTTCTTCAGTCTCAATAACACATCTCTTGGAGCTCTAGCTCACCTCTTTGGTGTTGTTCTTGTATTCATCTGATTAATCTAGTTCTTGCCAGTTCTTCTTGAACTTCTTGTTAGATCTTGAGCCTGTATTTTTGTGTCCATGACATAACTACTCTTTCTAGAACTCGTCTCTAGAAAGAAGAGTTATGTCATGATCATACATATTTATCTAGATAAAAAATGCTAGATAGAAAATAAATATAGGTAGATTTGATATTATCTTATGGCAAAGCTTTTTAAAAGCTACATAGACTTGTATTTGATTTTATATATATTTATAATTGATTGATAGATTAGAAACTTGCCAAAAAGTTATTTATATGTCACATATGTGGATAGCTTATGGTACAAGTTAATGATATAGTATTCATATAAGAAACTTATCTTGGAAGTTAAAACATGTGTTAGAAGTCATATTGGACATTGCTGCATAGCTCCTAGTTGGATAATATATATGGAAGAAAAAGTGAAGCCTTCTTTACTCTTGTCAACGCCTTTTTATTCTTTAGTCTTATTTCAAGACTTTTTAGTCTTCTTGTCTTTAGCAATAGCTATTCTAATACAATATTATACTATCTTTAAGTAATTCTTAAGTCTTTTTGAGTGATATAAGAATGTATTGAACTTTTAGTTCTTTGAGATTCATATCCTTGACATTTTAATGTCCCTAATCTTAAACATTATATCATTATCTTCTAGACACGGCTCTCTCAATAATTTATTTATTTATAATATTAATTAGAAAAAAAAAAAAACATAATAAATATAGATAATGAAATAATATAAAAAATTCTAAATATAATATAAGAAATATCTTTTATAATCCCAAGGATATTTTGTAGAAGATTTTTTATTCATACCTTTTCTTTCTTGAAGTAGTTTTTTTTTCAAGTAAGTATTTTTTATAATATTAAAAACATAAATATAATTAATTACTAAAATAGATCTAAATATAAAAAATAATGAATTTTTTTCATAAGAAAATATTATTTATATTTTTTAACTTAAATATAAAAATAAATTTTTTAAAATATTTGAATAAAAAAATGAGCTACTTTTTTATTTTTTTATATTTACTTATGTACATTTTAAGCTTTATATGAAGAGATTATTTTGAGTATCAAACATATTATATCTAAAATAATATTTAAAATATTCTTTACAGTCTTGTTATTGTCTTATTTCTAGTTTAGTTGTATTATTTCACACATAATCTTCTTATTTTTATAATTTTTGATTTTTTACACTCCTATTCTATGTGATTGTTCTATTTTATAAATAACTAAGAAAATCCAAGATAATTCCTTGTCTTAGAAGATGGTCTTTAATTAAGTCTATATAAGATTTAGAAATATTTTCATGTATCATTTGTCACACAAAATTTTAATTTTGTTATTGAATCTTTTAATATCATATTGATCTTATTATTCTTTGTTCATATTGAGAAAGTTGAGTTATTCCTCATTGTGAGTAACTATTTAGCATTATAAAATATCATGGTGAAGCAAAAATCTTAAATGAGCATGTAGAAACAAGATATCATAGTTTGAAAGGAAATTGTGGTATGTGTTGTCTTTTATAAATATAAAATTGAGTTGCAATCTTAAAATACCTCAAAGGTGTGTATTAGTATCTTTTATATTTTTTTATAATCCTTTATAGATTCTTTATAAAACCTTGGTTATAATTATAATATTGCATTAGGATTTTTATCACTATATATGAATAATGATGAATTAAGGACTAAATTTCAACAAAAATTTAGATTTTATTTTGAACATTTTTTGTAGCAATGTTATTTGATTTCTATTTTATTTTTCATTAAATAATTTAATTTTTAATTTTTAATATAAAAAATCATATAAGAAAAATTATGATAAATATTCTTATTCCTTATCAAATATTTTATATGAATTTTCTTACATAGTAGTTATATAGATTTAAGCTACAATAAGTTCAATGCATATATCTTAAGTAAGTAAGTTCTTCTTTTTAGAGATTTCTTTTCATTGTAATTTTAATAAGTAAAAAATTTTAATATTAATGTAGGATATTTACAGTTTTTTAAAATTTAAATCAATCTATTATTTTAAGCTTTTGATTTCTTTGGCTTGTTTTGTCATTTTTCTATATAAGGTGCCAAAATTATTTGTTAATATCACTGTTATATGCAATTGGATGGTATACTTGATTAAAAAATTGTTTAAGATCGTGTTGCATTCTTTTGTGACTTTTATATGCTAGAGAAAAAGTAATAAAAAAATTATTGCATTTTTAATAAAGACTAGAAGAATTTAATAAAATATATATTTTGATATTGTCAAGTTGTAAATGGAATATTTTACAAATTAAACAATAATTTTGTTCCTAAAATATAATACTTGTAAAATTGCTAATTTATAATCTTTATAGATATTTTTTCTTATTTTAGATAATATCTATCTATCTATTTATCTATTTATTCTAATTTTTTATTAAACATATAAATTCTTACAGTCATTTAGTAAAGAAAATATATATTTAAAGTTTTACTATCTATAGAATATAATTAAATATTAAATATAATAAAAAATAATAATAGCTAAAATATCATGGCACCATAAAACGAAATTGAATATAATTAAAAAAAATAACATATATCTTAATTATTTTTATAAGCTAATATTTTTTAGGTGTAATTTTGAATTTTACTAAAATCAATAGCATTTTTTTTTTTTGCTTTATAACTAACCTTGAATACTATATATTTTACTAATCTCATATATATATATATATATATATATATATATATATGCCAAAATTATTTAGGCTTATATTAATAAATATACATAGATTTTTTATAAAATTAATAATAGTATTAATTTATTTTATTATATAAATTTCAAAAAACAATCCTCAATACAATAATAATATATTAAAAAAAATACTTTATCAATTAAATGTATATTCTACCTTGTATTTTAAAAAATGCATTATATAGTTTTTTAAATTGAGACATCCATAGAATTATCCATTCTTTGGATTATTTTTTATTATGCATATATATATATATATATATATATATAAGGTCAAACATCATATACTAATTAATTCTAAGTAGTATCTAAAAAACTAGATATATTTTAAAATTACAATAAAGTAATAAACTAAAAGAAATATTATAGGTATTTAATTTTAGATATTTAAAGTTTTCTAATGTTTATTTTATATTTTTAAATATTTTCTTGAATTTTAAGTACTTCTTGAACATGAAACAACTTCAATTTTATTTTAAAAAATAAAAAATAAGACCATGATTACTGTTATTAATTTCTTTTCCAATCATTCAATCACTTTGTTGGTTACACACTACCACTTACATGTGTTTGTAACAATATTCTACTATCTTATTTTGCTTTGATATATTTTTATTTTTAACTCTACCAATTGGTCTTTTTTAATTAATTTTTTAAATTAAAATAATTTTATTTTTCACTTTTATGAAATTCATAATATATATTTACTTAATTTATTAATCTTTTGATATTTTAAGATACTTAATATTATATTTTTAATTAAAATCATTTATTCTTAGTTACATTATTATTTATTTATTAGACAGATACTATACCATTTTTTCTATTATTTGTAAGAAAAATATTTTAGACTTTCGGATTAAAGAAAATTAGGAGTCGTCTCTCAGTATTCTTAGCTTTTAGAATTCCTGTTTTCCTTTTTAAATACTAAGAAATTTTACCGCCACAAGAAAAGATAAAAGTTACAATAAATTTTTAAAATAAATAGTATTTAAATAGATAAATAAATATAGAATAAAACTTTCACCATTTTCTAATAAATTCTTGATAGAATTCTTGTTTTTCTTTTTTCTTTTTTCTTTTTTCTAATGACTTATAATTAGATAATTTTTTTTTTCTAGTTCTGTTTATTTATATTAATAAAGAACGTGTATGAGCGTGGATAACCATGAGTTGGAAATTATTCATTTGTGTGTAATGTTTTCAAAGCCACAAAATAAGGAAGAATTGAATATAGTCTTTTTAAAATGACAAAGAATCTTGGTTTAAAATAGAAAATAATTTCCAAATTCAATCAATACACCAACTAATTTGACTATTTTCAAGTTCCTTTTAAAATAGGTAGCCTAGGTAAGAAAATTTCCACTAGAGAAAATGTCCTTGATTTAATTTTAGCTTTGTTTCATTTGTTCCTATTACTATAAAACATAAAAAAATCATTAATCTATTTGCCTTATTTTCTGAGCTATTCTCATCATGTTTATCCACTTTTTCTAAAATATTTTTTATTAGATAATTTTCTTTAATCGGAAAGTCTCCTCCCGGCCGCCAACAAACGACATCAACTTTGCCGCTGCCGCTGACTCTGACGCTGATGCCGCCGCGTTCTCGCGGCAAGAGGGCCGTCGGCAACGCGTGCACCGCGACGTCCTCCGGCGGGCCCCGAGATGCTCGATCCATTGTGTGATCGATCGAAGCACCAATCGATCGATCGCTTCAATTGCTCGACGATCCATTGCAAGTCTCCGAAGGCCATTGTCTGCGATTTCACAGCCAGTGGTGGTCATGGGGAAGGGAAGACGTGGCGTGGTGTGAATTGAAATGAGCCTTAATCCTGCAGCATGCAGGAATCTCGGCATGGTCCCCACCAAATTCGGGATCTACACCGAGTGTCCGAGGGCAGAAGAGCACAAGATTCATTTCACTGTCGCTGCGAAAAGCGGAACAAAAGAGATTCAATTCGCTGGAACACGACGTACTAAGTGGGAAGCAATATGATGAGCATTGTTGTTTGACTCTTCAGGTTTGCACAGCCCACAACGGTTGATGGTAGAGAGAGAGGTAGCTTAAGGTCGGTGGTACGACGACGACGATATTTCCCGCGCAGTACTTTTATCGATTCGTTTCCTGATTGCAAGCATTCGCGCAAGCCTGAGAGAATTGTGGGGATTGAATGATTTCGCAAAGGAATCGGACTTGTTGCAGCGATTGTGAAGATCAAGGTGCTCGTGAACGTGGCTGGAACTTGTACTGGTGGCATGCAGAATCGATGCACACAGCTGGTGGACTTTTTGGAATCGGAAGGGGAAGTGCCACTGCACATGCTTCCATGTTGGTGAGACGAAACGTGGGAGGGGAAGAATGGTGAAGTTCTCGAAGCAGTTGGAGGGCTCCCTGGTGCCGGAATGGAAAGGTGCCTATTGCAATTACAAAGGACTCAAGCGGGATGTGAACCGCATTAAGCAGGACCGACTGGAGCAGGCGTCGGGGCGCCGCAGCAGCTTCGGTCACCTGAGATCGCTGGGATCTCTTTCGAAGTTTAACAGTATCGGTACTCGCATCAAGCGGACTGCCACTGGATTGACCCGTGGCTGCGATGAGGTGGGCCTCGTGTTCGACTCTTGTTTATGTCCCTAGGTCATCTTTGAGTAACCACAAACAGTTTATATTTCTATTGTGATTTGTGTGCAACTTTTACGTAATAAGTTATCCAGTGGATGAGTTTTATCTCGCACGAGCATGAATTGAAGCGCAAAGCGTGAACCTGAAATAGTTGGATTCTTTCGAGAGCAGAACGGGTGCATGAAATCTTTAGATATTTGTCGTGATTTGGAAACAACAGCGCTGTGTGATACCGACTTGGTGGAACTGCTCGGCCACGCTGAGCAGGACAAGATTTTCTTCAACCATTTGGATTCGGAATTGGAGAAGATCGACCGCTTCTATAAGATCAAGGAGGCTGAATACATCGCCCGGGCTGGTCGCCTGGAGAAGCAGCTGTTGGCTTTTTTCGAGGTACATGAAGCTCTTGCGCGACAGAATCTGAAGCTTCAGACCTTCTCTTTCATCAAATCGAAGGGTGGCGACGCAGACTCGTCTGGTGAGTCTTACCGATGGTCCAAACCTTATCCTGATCTCAGGACTAGAACACTAGTTTGCACATTTTTTTAAAAAAATAGAAAACAAACACTTCCAGTCGACTATTGTATCACTTCCCTCTGTCTTCATGTTATAAATCTCGAGATTTCCAAAGGATTTTGATCAACTGGATCGAATAATTTCTTTTCTCTTTTCGCGGCAGTGTTTGGGTACGAAAGCCCGCTTCTCGAAGTCATCACAATGCAGCGTGGAGACCAAGCTCTTAGCAAAGAGGCCAACAGATTCCAGCCCGAGAATGAGCCTTCAGTGGGAGAGGAACGTTGTGCAAGCAGTTCCACCGATGAAGAGATGGAAATCATAGCGAACTTCATTGAGAATGTTAATGTGACGGAGACTCAAGATTCATACTCCGTCGCTGAAGTCGCGATCCCAGTTGAAGACGACAGCGGCAATACCCCTCCCTGGTTCACAATCAAAGGCAACTCGATAGAATCATCTCCAAGACACCATAGCGCGTGCAGAGATGAATCCGATGGGTTTAATGTCGTTGCAGAGAGTCCCTCTCTCGTCATGCAAAGGAACGTAAAACACGACCGAGAGCAGAAATCCAGCATCCGAAAGTCCAAAAAAACGAGATCTAATATCATCCAGGACATGATAGACATAAGCTTCAGGAAGAAGAAGGTCCAAAGCTCGGAGAAGATGCTACGTTCTGCGTTTATCGAGTTCTACCGTGGCCTTGGTCTGCTCAAAAGTTACAGGTATAGCGGGTGGCATCTTTACATTCCTCGAAGTATCTGCAACCATATGGATGTCTGGTTTGATCTCCTGAATTCAACTTTAATAGTGTGGCAGTAAGATGATTGACCTTGGTGTTAAACGTGGTCTTTTGCAGTTCCTTGAACATGGTGGCATTTGCCAAGATCATGAAGAAGTATGATAAGGTGGTGAAACACAAATTGGGACCCGTGTACATCCGAGAAGTGGAGCGCTCCTATTTTGCAACTTCGGATACGGTGCGAGAGCTCAACGCTTGTCACACTTCGTAGATCTCATTCTAGGGTTTTTCTTTTTTAGTACTGTTCACTGATCAGGTGAAAAATGATGCCATTCTCTCTTGGCATGGATTGAACCCAGGTTACGAAGTTGATGACAAAGGTTGAGGAGATTTTCACCAAGCATTTCGCCGACCATGATCGACGCAAAGCTATGCGGCAGCTGAGACCTATTCATCAACACGGTGGTCACAGCATTACTTTCTTGCTAGGTACCCTAGACTCGTGATCCTCCCCTCACCACCATTCTTCAAACATTTGATCCCGAAATTCATCTTCACGTCTCATGATCTTACATGATCTTCCACACGATTCGAATGCGTGAATTTTTGCAGGAATCTTCACAGGTGTTGCAGAGGCACTGCTGGTAGGTTTTCTAATCTTACTCTTTTCCGCCCCCGAGTACAGAACCGTTGGTGGTCACAATTACATTGACTCCGTCTTCCATGTGTTTAGCACTTTGGGCTTGGTGCTGCTTCACAGGTACATGTACGGGTGGAATGTATATTCATGGCAGCGAGTCCGCATCAACTACCCTTTCATCTGCGAGTTCGCTCCGGGCACAGAGCTTCGGTACCGAGAAGTATTTCTTGTCTGCACTTCATTTACAAGCTTGTTGCTCGGCGCCATGATTGTGCACATCATTGCCAGCACCAAACAAGCTCCCTTGGGAATCTACACCCCCGAATTCGCTCCGATGGCCATCTCCTCGGTGAAGACTCAATCTCTGGAGAGATCCCAATTATTATTATTTTTTGAGTTTTACAAGACGGTAGTTGAACATGCTTTATTCTTTCCGAAATCTCACTCATCAAAGTGTTTCTAAACTGTCGTTTTCTTCATGTGCAGTTGTTTATCGTTTCTGTTTGCTCACCAGCGAACATTCTTTATAGATCTTCTCGAATGTTTTTTCTCTGCTGCTTGAAGCGTGTTATATTAGCGCCTTTTTATACGGTACGTAGCATCAGACAAAACTGCTTAGGCTTCTACATTCAATCAGCCCAGCTATGTGAGCATTACTGTGGAGCACAGCTTCATACACGAACAATGGAATGCTGCAGGACTGCAACTAACTTGACAGTCGGTCTGTTTTGGGGAGGATTCACAGGTAATTCTAGCAGATTTTTTCCTTGGCGATCAATTGACAAGCCAAGTTTCTTCATTCCGGAATTTAGAATTCATAATATGTTACTACTTGGGCGGGTACTTTGAAATCAGAGATGAAGACGCGTGCACACAGAACAAAACATTCCAAGGACTAATCTACGTCTTCTCTTTACTTCCTTACTCGTTCCGCTTCTGGCAGGTAATGTGAATCACATGTATTTTCAACAAGCAAGTCCTTCGATTCCTTCATCTTGCTTTTTGCAAGTCACTTCATGGATTAAGCGTAAAACAGTCATGAAGTTTAGTTGCAAAATTGTTGAGCTTCGGATCTGGGTTGTTGATTTTTACAGTGCTTGAGGAGGTGGCGAGATGAAGGAGATACGAAGCAGCTGTACAACGCTGGAAAGTATGCATCTGCGATGATGGCTGTGGGGGTCAGGGTTACATATTCCATGAAGGAAGATACCACCTGGCTTGTTCTTTTCATACTCTTTTCCTGTTTTGCCACCTTTTATCAATTGTACTGGGATATTGTCGTCGACTGGGGGCTGCTGCAAAAAAACTCCAAGAACAAGTGGCTCCGAGACAATCTCATTTTCAGGAAGAAATACATTTACTTTGTATCCATGGTATGTCAAGATCGAAGTTACGAATCGAGTTACGCGATTTTATGGCTTTCTGCACATTTAACTGAAGCTTGGAGAATGCTTACTTTTTTGTTGTGGAATGGGTTTGTATTAAGCAGGGAGTAAACACAGTATTAAGACTTGCGTGGGTTTCATCGATCCAACATCTTAATTATTTTCCGGGGTTCAGTCAAGCAGGCTGGTATAACATATTTGCGTCTTTAGAGGTCATCCGCCGTGGCCATTGGAATTTCAACAGGTAAATGCACTCTTCCTGATAATGATGTTCAAAACATAACAGTCGCTTCAAACTGGTGTCTTGGAGATCGCACTTTCAGTTGAAGTTTATCTGCACTATTTCTACTTAATCTGCTTACGAATGCTGTGTTCTGATTGGAAAATGAGCACCTCAACAACGTCGGCAAATTCAGAGCAGTGAAAACTGTCCCCCTCCCATTTGAGGAATTTGACGTGAGCGCCATGTCCTTGTAGAATCATTCCATATTTGCACGCATTATCCAGTTTCTCACTCGAGAATTTCGGCGTATAAGGAAAGGTTAAAAAAAAACATTGAAGGTAATCAGATTTAGTTATGGAATCAGGCTTGTACAGTCGGATTGTTTGTAGAAATGTTTTATATGTCGATATATTTTGATTTTGGTATAGTTTTTTTATTATTATTATTAATTTATTTTTTTGGCTCAACGATACTTGTGAATCATTCAAGGATAGTATCTCTGGTTAGAAACTCAATTGGTTGTTATAGACAATATGTTTAAGTCAACTTAATTGGTTGTGATTCATGACCAACACATTTCATGTTCTCAAACACTCATTCATTCTCTATTCTTGTATTACTTGAATATTGCTAAACTTTAATGATCAAATATGCTTCTGCCATTACTAAATCCACTTGTTCATGCCATTGTTCTAATGGAGTGAATAAGAATTGAGACATAGATATTCACATAAACTACAAACTTATATATACTTAGTAATGAAATATTTCTCCTTGTGTCTAAATAAACGTCAATATTTGCATGTGTGTAAAATGGCTATTAAAAACCCACAAGTTTCTTCATTCATAATTTGTTTTTGGACTTGAAAGAGTTTGAACAAAGACACCATGATGTTGTGTACTCTTAGTAGAAGAGAACAACCACAATCCAAACTTTAAAATACTACCACAATATTGAAGAAGAATCATAGAAGAAGATGACAACTTGTTAAAATATTAAACCCATATGAAGTGTTAAACTATGTGGAACTTCAAACTACCTTAACAATCTATCAATTCTAATCCAAACTGTGCAAGAGCTTCATGCCAAGTATATTTAGCATGTATCAAAAGCCTATCATATGATATTGTGTCAATAAGTATATACATTTTTTCATTATAGTATCAAAGCAAAACACAAAGTACCACTAGATTTCATCTTCTCTTTCATCCATTATGGCAATCACCTTGACTCTTAGTGATTAGTGGATTGATCAACTAGACAAGAACTATATCACGTGGAGTTTTGATACATTGTTATCTTAGCTTATACACACAATATAATAGAAATGGTAGAATGCATGATATGTATATTTTTTAAGAAGATGCTGACCCTTTTTCAACAATACAAAGCTAGATTGCATGTATTAAGTATTTGCATCAAGGTTTGTGATGTCAACTCAAAACTAGTTACCACTTATAAGACTTAATGGCATAATACCACACAAAGCTTTTTTTTAGTGAAAAACCAATTATCTTGTATACACATCACTTTGATTGTCTATCATGGTATCATGTACTAAAAGAAAAATAACAGAAGTTGGATGTCCAAGCACAAAAAAAAAATTCTAAGCCTATTGCGCTCTTACAAAATATTGCTTCAATCAAATTTGTGGATTTATTACACTCACAAAAAAAATTCAATAATCTTAAAATTCAAATATCCAAGATCCTAATCCAATTAAATTCCTATACCTTTCAATCCAACTATTTAATTAATCTCAAATTTATAGAACACATTTAAGACAAGCATATTTATAAATCCACAAAATTTTATCCATACATATGCTCCAATACTTACAAATTTCTCAAATATGTAAACCTCTTTTTATTTCTCAAAATCCAAAATCTCTCAAAAAAGCTCTCAAAACTCAATTCATCAAAATCACTTAAAACCTATGGTAGAACATCCCTCCTAAAGTCTTCTTGCTAACCTCACTATTCAATTAGCAAGTCATCAAATATACCTTTAGATCAAAATAACCTTGTATCCAAGATCCAAAAACTGTAGTCAATACTAAAGATTTATATATATATATATATATATATACATATATTCAAAGGCAAAAATCAAGATGGAATCTAAAAAATGTAGAATCTAAATTACTTAATAAAACTCACAATATTTGTCACATTTTGGAATCCACAAGCTCTTATAGAATTTCATCCACTATTTTTAGAATAAGTAGTAGAAAGCAATCTAATAAATCATTTCCACATCAATCCACATGCAAAAATGTCAGGGTTGTAGATGCCCTCTTTCACTGAGCGAACTCCAATCCCGGACAGCAAAAATATGCCCTGCAATACAATCCAAGTCTTTCGTCCGGAAGCTTCATCTGTGTGATCAATTCTTTAGCCGCATGGGACACAGAATTGTGGCTTATTGCCATGAAAGACCCTTTGCGAATCATGCATTGCGACATGTTATATCTCTCTCAACGTGTCTGATCCAATTCACGTCTGAGTCGATTATGTCAAAATCTTCTTTTACATGAGCTGAATTTACATGAGGCCAGCTTAGGTGGGTGCTTGTTCCACACCAACAGTCTTGCTCAGTAATCTATACAAAAGTGTCATTCGAGGAATATGTGTATATATATATATATATATATATATATATATCTGTTGCTTCAGGTTTCCCTCATCTTCAAAAGAATACCGAGTCTAATGGAAAAAAAAACTAAAAAAATAGTACGGTTTGAGCCAGGCTAGTGTGCCTGCAAGCCTGGGGCATTTCTGGATGCGGAAAATCGACTGGTTGGTCCTCTAAACCTGTTTCGTCTACACATTACACCCAACCATAGTTCAGAAATATGTCACTAATTTGAACACAGATCAAATACTGAAGTTCGACCCTCAGTTCTCACAGATGACGAAGGATTCAGAACCAGCTAGTTCTTTCACTGCAAAATTCATTCTATATTCAAGTTCGAGTTGAAACCATCTCGATCATTACCAACAATCACTGCGTAAGTCTCTCTTCACCTCAAGATACATAGATCCTTCCACACTTATACATCGTAGACTACAGTAATACAACTGGTTCATTCCATCACGTTCACAAGGAGTTTGTACCTTTCAGGAATTGCTTCTTGTGATGCTAACGCTTGTGCGAGACGTTCCTCGAAAGAAGTAGCATGCCACATCACTTTTTGATCCTGCACCCCAAAGCCCGTGGCACTTAACTCTCATGGTCCGGTGAGCTTTACATTCCACGAATCAGTCATTTCCTTTGTAAGCTAGCACTACACCCATCCACAAGAAATAAATGTGAGAAATCCATGCTCACCTCCCTGTACTTGTGGGTCGAGTTCGGAATGCCCTTGCCATCCCACGCTGAACGCTTCGTAGCCCACGCTGCTTCCCAATGATCAGCAAGTGAGCCAAATATGGGTCTCTCCTCGGGATCTAGGTCCATCACCCGCGTGAAATTGAGCTCCGATGTTGTGGTTTTAGGCGAGACGAACACTTCCGGCGTTACTAAAACGTCCCGAATGGGGGTACTCATCAGCGTGTTATCCTCTTGCTGCCCTTCACACTCCAGAACTACAGTGTCAGCCGGTGTCTGACGCACTCCACCAGACTCGCTTCTCCGGGGCGCGACATCCTCCGGAGGTAAGGAACCTTCTTCATCTCGTGGTGATACTTCCGAGCTACTGGTCGAGGAGGCTAAACTCTCGTCAAGGATGCGGCCAGTGATGCTTCTCGCCGCGTCTTCATCAGAAGATCCACAACCTGGTCCGTGATTGTCAATCATCACTTCGTCTCTCTGTTCAGAGGGGAGGTTAACAAATGAACCAGAAGCAGACTCGGCTTCCACAAGCTCCAAATTCTTTTGCACTCTCTGCGTCGGCAATTCTTGCACCTTCTCCACAAGCACATAATCATCCCACTCTTCTGTGAAGAGAAACTCAGAAACATCCTCTGTCGCAAGTGCGGCGTCCAGAACTTTCTTTCCAGTCGATTCCGAAGAATTTCTGTCTGCTTCCTGTTGTTGGACGACAGGTTCGTTAACACTAGTCGAAACGCTGTCAGGAGATACATGACGATCTAGAGGCACGGCATTGCCGAAAGACAGACCCGGGGTCACGTCACTTTTTTGCTTGAGCCGGAGCTCCTCGTCAAAGGGCAAGGCCTCTGTAACAGGTGGTAAAGATCTTTGAAATGCACGAGACCCAGATTGCAAGGACGATTTCCTAGACGAACAGAGGAAGCTGCTTATGTAGGAAGGTTTTGGAGCAGATTGATCAATCGATGAGAGCTCTGCCATTCGAGCCTGTCGTCTGGCCTCCTTGAAAGCAGACACTACGTTCGAGGCTTCCAGATGGTCCTTCGTAGCAGCCAGAAGTGGCGTGGAGTGAGGAGATCGAGGGCTTTGAGAAAGCTGCTCATATGGTTCTAAATTCATTGAAAAACAATTTGCACCGCCCTGCACATCAAGCAATTTCTCCTCCGAATTCACACTGCTGCTGGACCATACTAGTCTCGGAGCAACTCCTTGAGGAACTTTAGCACTTGGCGTTTCCTGGAGAAGTGAACACGAACGCAACGCAATCAGTAACCTCGAGCTCACGACGCTACCATGAAACTGTGGTCACAGATGGCGTGCAATATAACAGACTACCAAGTTCCACATTATCGACTCGTGCATACCTTGAAATGCAAATCAGGAGAGGTACTTGGTCCTAACAACACTGCGGCTTTCTCAGCGGCGGCAGCCGTAGTATCCCTGTCATGTCACGCCATGTATGTATCTAGTAAGAAAATCCAAAAAACAAGCTGCAAGAAAAGGTAAATAGAATTCAATCGATTCGCAATCCAAGCACACAAATATCAAACTTACAAGGCCAGGGAACCTTTGTCCACATTGTCGGACTCTTTCAAAAGCTCAGAGAAAGACTTCCGTGTGCTTGGCGGTACTCGTGGAAACTGAATTGATAGAAAACCCTCTCCGGGAACGCCGTCGGAAAAACCCCAGTATGGTCCATACTCTCCTTTGATTCTTGCGTCAAAGGAAGCAGATTCCTCTCGACCACGCGTAACCTGAAAATTTTAACCAGCTGTGACACTTACGAAATTGTCCGAGAAACGTTTCGAGGTGAAGTACTTTAACCAGAATACAAAGGTTACTGATTAGAGCGTGGACGTGAAAGACAAGCTGGACCTGTGGCAGATCCGGGTGCCAGCTCTTAAATGAATCAGCAGGCTGCTTAGTTTAAGAAACAGAATTCAATACCTCGTGGCTCCGTTTGTTGCCTTCCCCTGCGTGTGCACACGAATCGCTCTCCCAATTCTCGTCTTCATATCTTCCCAACGATGAGTTCTTTATTGGTGTCGGGGACTCTGGTGCATGGCCGTTGACGAACGCGTCGTATCCGGCACCTCTAGGATCCAAGAAGTCTGTACCCATAAATTCAACATAACCATTTCTCAAGGTTCAGCCAGACTGCTCACTACTGCCATTACAAAGTCCTGAAGAGAAACCTCCTGCATCGACTGCAAGAATTTGAAAAACTCTGAATTCGCCAGAGTTTGTTACGCTGCTTACACAATCTAAATACACACGTGCCAGAAGCAAAACGGACATTCACTACCGACAAAACTCGAGCTGAAATCCTTCCACGAAATCAATGCTTCAAAGAGAGAGAGAGAGAGAGAGAGAGAGAGATTTCCGAAACGAAACCACGACTGACCTTCAATGCGCGGTGTCTTGGTGAAGTCGTAATGGTGACCAAGCCTAGAATCAAATGTATCACTGCTCACTCTTCTCTGGCGCACACAAAAATATAAACACAATCACACCCAATTCGAGCTTGACTACAACCACGCAAACCCAAACAATTACAGCGCAACCCAACGCAGCACAACACACAATACACGCCCGCAACTCACCGCTACACGGACTCATCATCATCACCATTAAACAAACTGGAAAACTAATCACTCCGTCCTCAAACCACCTCGGACAACCTCTTTCAAGCCAACCCATGTCCTGATCCCCTGTCGCCACCACAAAGCCTCACTACACTAAAAGAGTCGTACCCCAATTCGGCGAACGGACTTGTCCTTGATTCCGAGGCACGTCCACAGCCACCCCATCCCGCCTGGATCCCTATTCCACCATTCTTAACATATCTTTAGGTCTCTCCATCACCCCACTTCACTTCTCACCTAACCGCAACCTTCTCCTTCACCCAACGATAGCAATTACACTCTCTCTCGCTTCCTTCCTGTGATCCACTACATCACATCCTGTCTCTCGCTCACTCGCTCGACAATAATGCTTCTGAGGGCTCGCTCGCGAATCCACAGAGAGCGCGACCCCAAATTTGGAGCTGGAGGTAATCCGGGTGCAAGTGCGAAGATGGCGGCGCTCTTTCTGAGAATTCAGGAATCAAGACAAACAAACAAACCCAAATGGAACGAAAGACTCAAAACGACGACGACGACGACGACGAAAACCTCCTTCTCTGCTAATCCCCCCCCCCCACCTCACCCACCTGCCCGTGCCCGTGCCCCTGCCCCCTCTCTACCCTACTCTACTTACAGTGGGTTGCGTACTTCCTTCCTACCCCCTTTGGCGGGCAGTGGGCAGCAAATTAATGGCGCTTGCTGCCGGGGGGGGGGGGGTTGGGGTCCTGATGTTACGACTTGGCAGGACATCCTTTGGAGCTCCTTCGTAACGGATGAAGGAAGGTCGCATGAAGGGAAAAAATAATAAATAAATAAATAAATAAATGCGTCAAATGTTTTATATATATACATGAAAAAACTTTAAAGACTCGGGTTTATGTTTTCATTCACTAGCTCCTCGTGCTTCTTCGTTTTCTGCATGAGTGTGTGTGGTCATTTATGGAGGCACCCAACCTAATTGGAAGTTTTGCTTACATTTGGCGTTGGATTTCCGAACTTTGTTTCAACATTGAAAAGAGGACATATATATATATATATATATATATGAAAATATGTGGGTGCTTCTTTTCTTTGTATGCTTTTGAATGTGTACACGAATTCCTTTTTAAAGAGACTTTTTTTCTCCCTTCACTTATACTTTTGCAAGTCCACAAATACGGTATTGTTTTTGTCTTTTCTAGGTAAAAGGCAGCTTTATGCATTCTTCCTGCCTTGAAGTAAAAACATACATAGTGTTGGTAGTAGTAACAACAAGGAGACATGCTTTCTTAACATTCATATTTTTATGGTATAGAAGTTCCTATATAATTACAAAATTTTGACAATATTGTTAATTTGTAAGATTTCCAATAGGCAAAGCAATGTAAGATTGACAAGTGTTTTTTTGGTGATAAAAAATGTTGTTCATACTAATTTTAACTTAGGTAGATAGAAACTAGTGGCAATAATTAGAAGTAAGTAAAAACTAATTTAAAATTTACTTTTTTCTTACAACATATCATAAAAAAATATATTTATTGGTTGGAATATGAACATATTTGTGTTCTACTATGCACTATGTGGCCATAAAAACTGTTCCCATAATTTACTTAGATCTATGAAACAATTATAAAAGCATTCTACAATGTAAACACATGTTCTACAAACCTTGTGGTCTTTGAAAACTTATTTGCAAGTTTGTATTGATTGCAAGCATACATAATAGCTAAATCTTTTTATTTGGCAAAATAACATGTAGCACAAAAAATCATAATAATAATAATAATAATAATAAATTTTATTCTAATTATAATTATATATATTATTATATTTAATAAATTAAATAAAAATAAAATATAAGAAACCAATAGTGTATAAAAAAATCTACCTTTTAAACTAATCATATGTATTGGTTATTTTTTATTAATTATTTTTTTAATAAATAAAATAATATAGATTAATCTAATATTAAAACTAACAATGTAACAGTAACATATGTAGGAGACTAAGAGATTAAGAAGTATAAGATAAATAAAATGCTAAATTTAAATATAACTTCTTATAATACTAGAAACAATATCTTTTATACAATGTTTTAAAACTTGTGTTGTCAAGACCAAAGCATCTTAGCTCTTTATTTAAATTTTTGCAATCAAGTCTTATAAAAGTTTTGAAAAGATATTTTGGAGGTAAAACATTTTCTTTTTATTTAAACTTTCAAAAGAATAGATTTTTTTTTTCTTATTTCTTTTGAAGATCTTTGTTTATTCTTAAGATTTATAAATATTTACAAGATATTATATAAAAACCTTAAAAAAATCTAAGTATTCTTACGTAATATTGTCTTATAGTTTATTTGTTTAAGTAAATAAAACTATTGTTTTGATAAGAAAGCTATTTTCCAAATGATGAATTTCATATATTTTAAAATAAGTTTTGAAGAAAAAAATTATGAAATATAATGGAATAAATAAATAAATAAATAAATAAAAATATTATAAAGATATCAAGCCAAGTGAAAAAATCAATGCATCCACTTCTAAACTTATAACCTATTTAAATTCCATGCATTGATTTTGGTAATAACTTCTAAAATCTTTTAATATATTGAAGTTTTCAATCTTATTAGACCACATGGATTTGTTTTTACTCTATTAGTTTTAGTTATTTTAAATGGATTTTAACATGAAACAAACTTTGAAAAAAAATATATATATATATATATATATAAAAAAAATGCAGAAATATAAAAAATATAAGATGTATGCTTCATCAATAGTTTATAAATGTTATTTTTAATCAATAATGATTCCATTCTTTTATCTTTGAATATTCTATAATCGTATATAATAGTTAAAGAATATAGTAGAATATAAATAATTATTTGGTTTCTTTGTTAATTAAAGAAACATTGTAATATCTTTAATTAGTAGTTATTTTTGAATAAAAACATTATTTACAAGAGTTCATATATTAGTCTAAACAAGGGTTTCATTTTTGTGTATAATTAGTTGCTCAATTATACAAGTAGCACTTTTACAAAATACCTTTATTCTTTTTCTTGAAACATTCTTAAAAATATTTAATAAATTCAAAAGAAAAAGAACATTAGAACCATTAATTAAATGTATAATATATGTGAAGGAAAGATGTATTTGTTGTGATAGGTTCTATTAAATATTTTACCATTGATATATATATATATATTACAATTAATTTTAATACAAAAGAATATAAATACATGTCAATAATAAAATCAAATCTTCTTCAATGATCTTCTCTAACAGGAATAATGACAGTTTAATTAGAAAGATGTACCATTATAATAATGATTTATCTTACATAGTATCTACCTATTAGTATTTTGTTTTGAAAACTATAAATATTAGGCTATATTTTTATAAATCCGTGCAATTCGGTGATTGCTATGTATGTTATTGAATCTGATTACAAATTTTTGTGAATTGGCTTTGTTTGTTTTTGTGATTTCTTTCATTTTTTTTCTATTTTTTATATTGTTTATTGGAGGCAATAGTAGAGAGAAGGAAAAGCGGAGAAAATTGATGGCCATAGTTGCTATAGTAATCAAAGTTATTGCACATGAAAAATATTCTTTTTATTACTGTGCCTCCTAACGCTCCTATTACTGTTCCTTCTACCATTCATCATTTCTTTTGGTATTTTCTTCTTTTTTGTAATTTCAAATGTATGTGAAATTTAAAACTTGTAAAAATTAAATTATTCATCTAACTTCACTTGAACTCTCATCCAACTCTCAACATGCAACCCAATGCATATAGAACAATAATATTTTTGATACATCATGTAATATAAAATCTTAATTAAGTTTTAAAACTAAGAGGTTATATATATATGTATATATATATATAGTATTAAAACCAAACCAATGATTTATTCTTTGAATTCACAAAGAATACTCAACACCTTATTGGAAACATGACATTTGATGTACTATTCAAATTGATACTATTGACAAAATTGATATTCACAAGAACTCTCAATTCTTTGCAATAATAGTTTTTGATGGTTTTAACCCACCATACACACAAAGTATTAAAAAGATTTTTTTTTCATGATTTGTTTAATTTTGCTAAACTCGGGAAGGCGCTCATCATCTTCCACATAATAATTGGACGTGCGACGGTGATACCAAAATGTTCACTCACAAGCACGACTCAAAACCCTAAAAACAAACAAAAACTTCCTCGAACGCATCCCCCCAGTAACACAAGGTTGTTGAAAACGCTGCCCATCTTTCAGCTCCGCTTCAGTTTTTCTGTGCACAAGAAACAAAGGTACTTACAGTTATTCACGAGGGGGGGACTGGGTAGCTGTGACTCTGAGAGGGGAGTGAAGGCGAGGGAGAAAGATCAGTTAGGGCCACCGAGGCACAGGATTCAAGGCCCCATTCAGACACAAACCCCACATCAATGTCAAACAGAAACCAGAACAAAAAACAAAACCAAAAGCCCATATTCAATGAAAGATGGAAAGGCGAGGCATAAGAGGCGACTGCCAAGTCCATTCAAGTGTCTATCCTGCGCCACCCCTATCTCTTTCTCGTTCTCTTTCTCTCTCTCTGTGTGTGTTTTGGGAGAGTCGCCGCAGGGATTCCATGCCTGTGCCCGCGAGACCCGCATAGCCTTCCCTCCGAGTTCGCCGTCCATGCCGATGGTCAAGCGGCTCTCAAGCTCCCTGTCGTACCGCCTCCATCAGCAGCAGCAGTAGCAGATCAGGCAGGGTGGGCCGTTCGTTCTGCCCTAGTCTCGTCCCTTCCCTCCTTGTCAGCGGGTCAGGCGTGACAGGAACCTTGGTAAGTTGGAATGGAAACAGAGCGGCAGACAGACGGACACAAAAACCGAGAGAGTAAGAGAGAAAAATAGATAAATACAAAACCCTAATCACGGACACGAGAAAGAGTGCGAGAAACCCCAATCAAGAGTATTTTAGTCGGCGCAAGACAGAGAAACCCTAATATGGGGAAGCCCTAAACAGTTTTTTTTTGTTGAACATGGTCACATGTCCATGTCTAGATGGGCCTTCAAACATCTTAATTTCATTCCTATTTTTTTTATTAAAGAAACAAAGCCCATACAAGCAAAGAGGAGATCATGTAAATAGTGCCATTTGTTTTTTTTTGGGTGATGTGTTTTGAGTAAAAGTTCACACACTACGCATGATTTTTTGTAAAAGTTTTTTTTTTTAATAGTATTGTTGGTTTCTATAATAGATGATTTATTTCAGTACATTGATCACCGAGAACTGAATAAAGGAAGTAGCAGTGACAAATCTAAGCAACAGGTTCAGCTAACTTGTAGTTTATTTATTTGGATTCATGTATGGACACTGTAATGAGACTTAAAGTCGTCCTGTTTGATTCATTTGTTTTATACCCATAAAAGCACTATTAATTTAAAACTGCACAAAATTTTGAGTTATTTCATCGTATTTACTGAGTAGTTGTTTTTCTCCTTATAATGTATGCATTGATGTGCAGCAGTAATGTGATTTTAAGACAATATGAAAATCAATGATATATTGAGATGATTACAGCCTTCAATTGCTCTTCTTACAAATTCTAGTAGTGAAATCAAAAAACCCCAACAAATTAACTAAAAAATGCTACACATGGAGCTTGATTGTAAGTGATTATATTTAAAAAGTATATGTTTGTTACGAAATTTGGTAGGATATTATATTTTGCAACCCACCATAATACCAACATTATCATTATTGTTTTGTGAAAGTTGTACTTCACTACAATTGTTGTTCAAAATACAATAAATAACTGTATTAAAATTGCAGGTTTCAAAAATCATTATTAAATAAGAACAATTAATATGCTTTCAGCAGTCACAAAATTTTCAATCAATTAAATGTGTTCATTTAACATCATATGATAAGTAGCTCTCAAATTTCCTAATCAAATAATGACAAAACATATATACATTTTGCAACAAATATTGCAAGGTTCAAGCTACAAGCACATTCCAAATTGTTATACCCACATCTAAAAAAATAGAGGCCTCTTTTTGGTCAGTTTGCTTCATTTACAAGCAATTACAAGGGATTAGGGGGCAAGATTGGAACTTGCACCAAGATTAGGGCACGAGTTGGAGATTAAGGTTGGGAATGGTGCCGGAATTGGGACTTATACCAAGACTAGGGGGAGAGGAGTTGTAAACAGTGGCAATATTGGGGACATGGACAAGAAATGGCTCTAGGACTAGGACTTGCACTGAGATTGGGTATGGGAGTTGGGAATGGCATTGGGATTGGGGATTGGGGATTGGGAGAGGGGTTGGAAATGATGCTAAGACTTATGGCATAACAAGGAAGAGGGGAAGGAAATTTGGGACTTGCATTGAGACTAGGAGGTGCAAGAGGAGGTTTGGGACTCACACCAAAGTTAAAGTTAAAAAGAGGAGTTCACAAAGCAGCTAATTAGAGGCTTTTGGTATGTGTATAGCAATTCGGAGTGTGCATATAGCAACTTGTAATGTGCTTGTAACTTGAGCCATACCCCAAGTATTAGTAATATAGTTTTAAAATAAATTTATCTTTCACAATATACATACTCATTAAGAAAAATATCTTTCATTCATTCATATATATATATATATATTTACAAGAATAACTTAAGATTTATAAACATTTTGTTTTTGTTTTTCAATTTCGTTAGGGAAAGAAAGAAGAAAGGAGCATCGGCTCAGAGAATGGAATGTCGCTGTTGTCTGCGGATGGACCCTTGTTAAGGGGGTCTGAAAAAGCCAAGTCAGCTCGGTCTCAAAAGCTGGGAGCCTTTCTAATTGCTGACGTGGACTCATTTAACAAAGCGTTGGTTGAAAAGAAAAAGGCCACCCATCTACTCGTTCATCCTCCCTCATCCACACATTCATTCTCACACATATTCATCCATCCATCCATTCTGAAACAGGAGTAGATAGTTTCACGATTATGTCCATGTTAAAACGTTCCTTCAATAGAATAAAATGAATTATTTGAGGAGGTGGTGAGAGGCCAGCTCAACCCAGCCCAAGTGTCACCTGAGTCAGCTTTTTTAAGGGTTTTGTTCGTTGTTATAGGACCCAGTACAAAGCGTTGCAAGCGTTGCGACGACGCTCTGGCATGCGAAGGAATGGCATGAGCTGCATGACGTCGGGATTTTGAACACGACCCATCACAAATTAACCGTGGAAGATCATGTAGCGAAATAAAAGCCACAGGTTTGCCATCGCAGGTGTGGCCAGGCTTTCAAAACGCGCAGGAGCAGGTGCATCAGAGTGGGTGGAGCGAAAGAGAGCGAAAGAGCCAGCGAGTGAGTGAGTGAGCAAGCGAGATAGCGAAGAGCATGACGGGATTCAAGTCCTTGTTTTGTAGTCGTTGTAGCTTGGTGTGAGTCTGTGCTTCATGGATTTTAATACCACGATGAGTCATCCGTTCGCTTGCTGGATGGGGGGAATGATACTTCATCGCGAGAGTGGTGTCAGAATCGATCTCTTCCATACATTGGTGGCACCTGAAATCATTTTCCCAACAATTCCCTCTTGAAGTCGGTCCACACATTTTTGGACTCCTTCTCTTTGACAATTTCAATGCTGCCATGGTCGGTTTTCCCTCAATCACTCACTGCATGTATAGAGGATGCAGCCAACTTGCAAAACGCCGCTAAACGACGACGGAAACGGTTTATATCCTCTGTGAAATTTCGTAGGAAGCGAGCGGAGGATCAAGCTTCAGGAATTTAGGACCACACCCACGCGTTTGACGATTCCTTCTTTCGCACCCTGTGGAAAGCTGCTCCGATGTGGTCAGAGCGGCAAATTGCAATCCAGGTAGCTTTGGAATTACTCCATCCTCGCGATGCTGTTATGGGCAGTCCTGGCTATTGTATCAACCCAACGAGCGTATGCATTTGGATTGTACCAGTTTCAGGTTGCATTGGATGTGGAACAGATCGATGCGTGATCCACACATGCACTGCAGATTCAGCATTCTTTCATTCTGACCTCGAGGTTGTTTTGCAAATTGGAAAGGGTGGCATGAAATTGACGGAATGGGGATGGTGATCCGTCGCACCTTAAGCGATCACCGCGCAGCTCCTGCTTCGTGTGCGGTTGTGTGGGTGTTGCCGAATCGACCGAACTCATGCAAAACCATATCCCCTCACAAAATTTTAGGCCTCATTGTTATGAGCATTGCAATCTCGTCACCGGGTCGGTAATTCTCACTTGTCGGTGAGTTGGTTGTATTGGCAAATTCATGGAGGAATGAAAGACTAGGATGCGTGTGTGAAGAGTGCATGTATAGTCTACACTCTTTGATATTACAAGTATAAGATTGAAGATATATAGATACATATGTAGATGTATTAGACAGTGAGGGAGCTTTAATCATGCATAGTTGTAACAATGAATGGACTAAACAATGTATTATAATCAAATGGCTATTTCAGTTTTATTTTCATTTCTTAAGAACATTGAAGTTTTCATTCATTTCTACTTTGCACAAGCACTTGAATGGATTAAATGGTATTATGATTATTTCAAGGATTAAAAATGTGAATTTACCAACATTGGTTAGAATATTCAATAAAATAATAATAACAATAATAATAATTTTTAAAAATAGTAAAAGTAGTAGGATTAAAAAATAAGTTAAAAGATTATGTATACTTTTAAGTATACATATAGTCCAATTGTATTAAACTTATTTTCGTTTGTTTAATTGCATGCAAAATATTAAAATTTTCCAAATGTTTTAAACTTACTTTTATTTATCATATATATTTTCTACTAAGCTTAAAAAGAAATGCAATGAGTTTAAGTAAAAGACTACATACTTGTATCAACCTGGCTTTTACAGGTTTTTGGAGTTGTCTACACCGAAACAAGAAGTTAGCTAACACTTCTCACTATTATTCTTCAAAGAACAAAACTGTAATGGAGAATCAAGGTGTTGTAACAAATATTGTTCCACTTCAAGGTTTTTACAGCAGGAAATGTGTTGCTGACTTTTGTGAAAGCTAAAGAATGCCTACATGACTCTAATTAATTGATTTATTATTATTATGAATGATGAAGTTTTTACAACTAAGATGTATCACATCAAGCATGAGTTGTCTTCACAATATCTGAAGACACACTGGTCCACAACCTCCTCGAAACTGGTCTCAACATTTTGCTACTAACTTGGAGACTCTCAGTTACAGGAAATGAGAGAAGTCAAAACAGGCAATCTCAAAGAGGAACGAAGTCTTGTTTTGTGACGATCTTGTCACAAGGAACCGTGAAGATCTGTTGTGTAATCTGTTTGTATCTGATGCTTGAATCCAACACCTTCATGTCGGAAAAAACCTGCATAGATCGATGAGAAACCTAGCAGCTAGATGCTGGAGATAGTCTTGGCAATCACCAACTCATTTGGGTCATCGCAAAGCTGGTGTGAGCATCTACCTCGTGTATCCTGTTGTGTGCACGAGATCAACACACAGACGCACACACACATACTCACATACTCACACAAGCGCACCCACACACAGAGTCTGTGTTGAACTGGCCAACGCGGCGGACCCATTGTTGCAGGTACCGCACTGATCAGCTTTCATTTTTCGAGCAGCGACTTTCTGCAGTTGCGTCTACAGTGTGTCTGCATGGCTGTGTGCATGTCCGGACTATGCCGCCTTGTCAAACATGTTGCAGATGTGGGACCAAGTCACTTGTCGAGTTCCTGCATGTTCGGCTGTGTGCAGTTGCGGTTCATGTCTTGCATCATCGTCCGAGTTGCATCAGTCGCAACCAGGGATCCAGCCTGATGCTGTTGCTTGACTCTCGGGCTGTGCCTGGTCTCCTTGTGGTGCGTGTATCCATTGACCCCCTCGGCGATGAGGTCTATATTTGTATTATCAAGTTGTGGTGAGTGAGAGGGCGGTAGTCTTCTAGCATACTGGTGTCGAGCTTTGCAATGCTTCCTTGTTGATGATATGACGGTATCAACTTGTGTACTTCATCGAGCAAGTTGTCATGGATGCTGGGTGCACTTGTATTTTGTTTTAAAAAAACTGCGGATAAAGCTCAGTAACATTTTATCACTGATTGGAATAGAGGAATGATTTTGTGATGAGAATGGTTATGTAACAGAGAATGTTGTGATAAAACAATTCAAAATGAACGTTGAGCATTTTATTTGAACTTTTAAAATTACGTAAAACATAGTGATTTATTTTAATAGCTTTTAAAAGTATTAAAAATATTTTACTCTCATAGTTTTTCATCATATACTTCTAGGTTCATTGTGTTGAATTATGGTACGTGTTATAATTTCATCAAAAGAGGCGTCAAAGTCAATCTGTATCATTGTAAAATTCACAGTCAAATATCTATTCATTTTTTTTAAAAATTATTTACGTATTTGAATAGTGACAATAATGACACAACTATATATATATATATATATATATGCATTAACTTAAATTCAAAAACACAGAAAAGCAACCTTTTTTCTTACTTTTTTCCAATTGTTTCTAACGTCCATTTTCTGATCAATGAAATGATAAAAAAAAGAAATTCATTGCAGTTGTATATATGCTTTATTACAGAATAATTTACATAATTAACAAATCTCCATTCACTAAAATTATAAGAGGTACCTAAAACATTTGGATTTTGAGTCTTCACTTGTATATATGATTTATTACAAAATATCTATTATAAAAATGTTTTTTTAAAGTTTTTTCAAGTATTTTTATGCATATTTAATTATATTGTTGCATTGTTTGTAATGATAAGTACAATTCTTATTTCTTATTTTCATTGCAAACATTCAATAAAGATCAACTTCTTCTGTAACTTGCTTTGTTTATGTTGATTGGAAAGATTGGTGAAAGAGAAAGAACCATAGACAACTACAATCATACAATAATGTGCAAATTCACAACCTATTTAGAAAAAAAATAAAAAAATAAAAAAATGTTAAAAAGTGCTTTAAGTTAAGGTAGGATAAATAATGTCATAAAGCATGAAGTGTCAAGGACTTATGAAACAACCTACTTTTATTCTAGAAATATGTATGTTCAATATCATATCCTTCTTTATATGCAATAGAATTGTACATAATTGATGTGCTGCCATACTTAAATTACAATATTTTTTACTTAATTCTCTACCTAAATTATTAACTTTTATTATTTTTTTATTATTATAATTATTATTTTTAAAGTCAATTATGTACAATTATAAATTTATAATATAGAAAAAAATTATTTTAAATAAATAAAATATTAATTAAGAGATATTTATTACAAAATATAGTTATAGCTATATATATATATATATATATATATATATTGAACTAATGCCAATACAAAAAAATTAGGAATTTTGTAGTAGACAACTTAATAAATTGAAGAAAATATTATTAAATTTTGTACCATTGTCGATACTTACAAAGAGATAGGTAGTAATTATCTATTCTCTTAAGAAAATGAGATACAACTCTCTATAAGTATTTCATTTGTAAAGATGGTGCTTATTTCAGGGTCTTATATTTGTCATGTCCACACTACACCTTTCAAATCCATAAATTGATTGATAGTTGTGCTTACTTTTGAATTTGCAACATAAATGAATGTATATTTTGTAATATAGTATTAGAATTGTAGATAAATAATTTCTATGGATGAAAAAAGTTATATAAAAAATCTAGATACATTTTGTAGATGATTTTTTGGATGAAAACTTTAGAAAAGGAACCATTGCCATCTTGCTATTACTGGAGCATCATAGTTATGCTACTGTTGGAACCTCACCTTGTTGCTGAATTAAGTTACTACTACCAATTTTGATTTCTTATTGCTATTAATATCGAAGAAATATTATTTTGCACCATTATAGCTTAGTATCACTACCTTCTATTATTGAATTTATACAATATTTGTTAATTTTTTTCTTAAAACTACTACAAGATTTATTATTATTGAACAATCTTGTTACTTGTTGTTATTGCATTGGTTGCTTTCGTAATTGCATCAACTTCAATCAACCACTACATTTATTGATTGGATGGGAAAAAATATGATTTATGTGCATTTATTATGAAGTATTTGATATGCATTTGTAAATTCTACATACATATAGTTGGAACATTGGAATGTCCTATATGTTGGATAAGAAATCAAAATGAGAGTCAAACAAGGCAAAAAGACAAGCATTGATTGCCCTCAATGTCAAGCCTTTAGAATTGATTTATATATGCAAATATAAAATAACAAAAGAAAAGTGGAATGTGTTGGCTAGGATCTACAAGCCTTCTAGAGATATTACTAAGATGTTTTTGATAAAGAAATTTTATAATCTTTAATATACTAATGAAGAATCTATTGAAAGTTTTTTTAGATTTTTTTTTGATATTAGGAATTAATACAATGAGTGCAATGGTTTAATAGACAAATAAAGTATGAAATTTCTTGTATTTATTACATTTCTAAAATATTAGAATCCACTTGTTTAATTAATTGCATTGAAAAAATACAAAGAGATCATAGAGAAAGTAGTATAATATATATTTTTTGAAGAAGAGATGCAAAAAAAATTATATATATATATATATATATATATATATATATTTTTTATTTTTTGTTTTAATAATACATTTTAGAGAGAAGCAAGCCTTGAAGAAGTACTATCTATAATAGAAGCAGAAACTTAAGATTGATATGTCTAGAAGCATTTGTAGTGCTTGTAGACAAAAATGTACATAAGTAAGGTTGTGTAGAGTGTTTTAGAATAAATAGTAGTAATATAATAAGTGTTGATATTGTTGTTGCTTTCTTAGTCCAAGAGACATTATAATAGTTATAAGTAATAATTACATTGTTATTTCAATTATATCATTATGTTTATATTAATAGCGCAATAGATATATACATTCAAGGAAACAAAAGTAAAATTCTCAACTTCAATAAAAATTTGGCCATCTAATTCCAATACTACAATGGTGGTATCAATAAATTACTAGTTTAAAGTAAGATGTATTTCACAATTTTGGACCCTAAGAAAAAATGTATTATTGTGGTTGTAAATGATGTACATTGAATTCTAGGAGCACATGATATACTCTTGTTAACTGCAATCTTACATAAGAAATGTTGCAAATTTAGTTTGGATGATAATTGACCTGATTAAATTTATTTTTTTGATAACATACTTATGTAAAGTACCTTCAATTATAAACCTTATTATATGCCTTGTAAAATTAAAGAAGTTATTAATATAACTAATTTATCTACATTAGGTTGTATGCTTATTGAATAACATAAAGTATTAATATATGCTTTAATGCATAAAATACAAGAGGCGTAGTGAATGAATAATATTCAAGAATTGAAGTTTAAGGGTACAAAAGATATGGTATCTACATATAAATTGTGCATTATTGATAAGATCTATAAGCAATCTTTTTTATACAAG